TGTGGGGCCCACGGCGATGAGAAACCCTCCGCGCTAGTAAAGATGCTGGGTGTGCATGACGACAACAAATAGTTCGGCTGCAAAAGGGCAAGAAAATAGTTCTGGGGAAAGGAAAGCCTTGCCGCAATAAGCTTCCTGTTCTGAAAACTGCGCTCAGTGTTTGTGCTTGCTGATACAGTAGGAGGCAGGGTGAGTTCAGAAGGAGCGATCCATCCTCGCAAAGGGATGCAAAATGTCGTGTTTGGTGGCCAGAGACGGGCAGATCTCTTTAGGTCCGGAGCTCAAGCTGAGAGGTGGAAAAAAAATACCTCCCTGCAACTTTTCCATCTCTGCGACTAAAAAGAGAACGTGACAGAGCAAAGGAAAGAATCTCGGTAATTGATATTAAAAATCGATCTAAATTTTTCTGCGCCCAGATGAGCACAGCCCTTCGAGAAGTTCAGGTCTCCAAAATAACGCAGTGAGATTCAACGCAACAAACATGACAGAATCACCTTGCCTCGGGTCCGGTTTACCTCTGCCCTTTCTAGTTTCACATAGTCTGCAGTTCCCTACGCAAAATCACAACCATACAGCTCGGGTTCGGGACACAAATAGCTGCTCTGTGTCACAGCATGGGGCTTCCTTCTCGCCTCTATCAAAAATTACTTCAGATTATGGGGTAAACCAGTATTTGAAAAATCGTATCGAAGTATTGTAGCACTTCCCTCCATCACGGCGTTAAAGAGAATTTAGGATTTTGGTGGTGGTGTTTTGGTTTGACTTTAACAGAAGGATACGCGCTTTCCCTAACGGACAAAAGGCAAACAGAAAAGAACAAGCGCCTGTTAAGACCTTCTGAGCTCGAAATACTTTAAATCCGAACAATAACCACGTTTTTCTGAAGCTGCATTCCTGGCCAATTTTGAGAAGAATTATCGCCTTCTGGCATTATTTTCATTGGAAAAGAGGAAAGGTGGCAAGAGAGCCGTGAATTCCCTCATCCTACATTTTTCTAATAAGACTTCGTAGGCTGTCATCAGCCTGCACGCTTACAAAGCGCCTACGAGAAGAGCCTACGAGACTCAAACCGGCAATCGGGAATATTTCAATTAGCTCTACCCGACAACGAATGCCTTTTAGCACACGTTGCTGCTGTTAATTGCAGGCACCCACCCTACCGGCAAAGGTAAACGCTCGGCTTACCGCATTTTTAAAACAAAACAGAGCCGAGGGGAAAAAAAAAAAGAAAAAAAAAAAGAAAAAAAAAGAAAAAAAAAGAAAAAAAGGAAAAGGAAAGAAAGAGGTAAAAAAAGAAAAAAGAAAGAAAGAAAGAAAAAAAAAAGACAACAATTTGGATACTATAGAACTTGACCTTTCGGAGAACAGCGGCAGTAAGTTAAACAGTCCCCTTTGCACGCGATGTGTATACATAGAGCCGCGCTATCGAGGCGTCCCGGCTCTGTTTATATTCCTCCAAAGAAGAGCTGTAGCTTTCCCCCGCTTTGTTTAGCTTAGCTAACCGGGTGACCGTGCTCCCAGCCTCTGCCTCTTGGCCACGTCCATCCTTTGCAAAACGTTCTGCAGCAGCAGAGCTGCAAAACTCGCAGCGTTTTGAGTCTCCCTAATCCGGCTGAAATACTCGGGGAGGCGGAACGAATGCATTTTGCTTCTCCAAACGCAATGCCTCCCTTTGTTGATGTTGTTTTCGTCGGGCTTAGGAAAGGGAAGGCTCGATTTTCCCCCTTCCTCGACACGGAAGTCCCAATTACTGTATTAAAAGAGCAATTCAACGTTAGACCAAATAATCGACATTGATAATTGTGCTGAGCGCAGCAACCTAACAGCAGGCTCCCTGCAATTACCCACACATTCCGAGGCTTTAAGCGAACATTATCTCTGTTTCACTTAACAGCAAATAAAGCAGAGAACAGTCCATGCCGGGCGTGTTTTCTCGCTCCCTGCCTTCCCCGGAACTCTCCCGATGGCTGGGAAAGGCGTTTTGGGGTCCCCCCGCCTTGAAAAGTGGATGAAACCAATATGATGCTTGAGGGGGTGTCGGGTTTTTATTATTATTCTTATTTTTACTTTTGGGAGCGAGCAGCGGGGAGGAGCAGTCTCAAAGTAGGCATCGGGGCCGCACGTGTGCGCGCTGTGCCCGCGCACACACACGCCCGGTTCGCAGAGGGTGGCCGGGCTGCAGCCTCCCCCGGTACCCCCCCCCCCCCCCACCTCCTCCCCCTTGCCTCGATTTCCCTTTGTGTGCAGGAGCTGCCCCCACCTCGGGCACGTACAGCCTTGTGCCAGCGCTGCCCCGGCTCTGCCACGGGGTGAACGCGGCGGGGGGGGGGGCCGCAGCCGGGCCAAGTAGGTGGCGTCCCGGGGCCGGGCAGCCCTGTCGTGTCTGCTCTGACACAAGCTGAAGTTGACTGCCAAAGTGCTATAAAACCGCAGGTCAGTCTAGAACTGTTTTCGGTTCTCCTAGACGCGCCGCGTTCAATTATAGCCTTAAAAGCCGTAATACAAGTGCAAGAATTTGTTTGCCATCACCCAGAGGCGGGGCGAGGCTCTGCAATGGTGGCGCCTTTGTTATCTCAAAGTCACCGAAATCCCAACGCTGCCTCTCTGTCCGCGGGGAGGGGCGGCAGTGCGGGGGGACGGGGGGGGCACGGTCCGTGCCGGGTGCCCAAAGAGGGCTCCCACCCCTCGACCCCCCGCCTTCCTAGCCGAAGAACCGGGATGGAAATGAGATGCGTTAAAGAAAAAGCCAACCAGAGCTCTTGCACCCCCCCACCCCAAGTTAGAGGAGGGGGGAGAGAGGGAGAGGGAGAATCCCCAAGCGTTTTTACAATCCCCAAACGACAACGCAGTCTTCTGCTAGCGGTTTTGACGACATGCGATCCCTTTCCATCCACTTTCTAGCAAACACGTCAAGCCTGAAGATTAATTCACTAATTTCAAGTTCAGCTCGCAGACACGCAGCGAGCATAAGAAGTTCTTGCAGCAAACCAAAATAAAGAGTTCATTACGGGGATACGTCCGGAGCGTTTGATTTGTGAACGGTAACCCTTGTAAAATAAGAAAACGGCATATAAACATTAATGCTAATAAATTAGTTTACTCCACTACAAAGTAATTACTTGATAATATTGAATTTACAGCTCGAATTCAAATGCATCAGTTAACTATAACGTAGAGAAAATACATAATGAGAACTTTTTTTTTTTTTTGCAAGCAACATGATTAGATTTGTTATCGAGTCGGTTATGATAAGCTGAGCAATAAATAAACAAATCGATGTTGATATTTAAATACCGAAGATCTCCAGAATTTACTATAGAACTTTCTCCGGATATATAAATACTTCCACAACGCTGCAGAGGAAAAGGGGGTGGAGGGGGGGGCGGAATCCAAATATTATTTCTCCAGCATTTCGGTCTCCTTTCCATCAGTCTCCCCTGTCCACTGGGGCACAGACCTCGAGCTCCATCTGATTTCATCAGAGCACCGACACCACAGCAGCCTTTTGCCGCTCTATTTTTCTGTTATGATTAAATCCAGCCGGAACCCAAATGTTTCTTTTCTGAAATCGAGCATCAGAACAGCAAAAAAAACTTTCATTATTTTTTCCAACAGCCGAGGGATGTCCATGCCTCAAAAGGTGCTGTATTCTTTGGCGTATTTCTCTGTTTTCTTTGGCTGCGCTCGTTCGGTGGGGTGTGCATTTTTTATTGGCAGAGAAGTACTTTTTAGTCTCTGCCCTGTACAATCCGCTTTCTATATCATCCCTTTCATGCAACAATAGTAAAAATTTAACCACGTTTTTAAAATAGGTCTCCCCGGGTCTCAGCCTTCGGCGACGGTACCAGACAGAAAGGAAAGGATCTCGGGACGGCGAGTTTGTTCCTAGGGGTTAACAGTATGTCAAATAATTTTAACTGGGCTTCTGGCAATTAAAGCCGGAGTATTTGTCGAAGCGGGGCAGCCCTACATCCACCGGTTTTCCGAGCGGTTAGAGGCGGTGCGGACGCGAAGAGATCAGCAAACACTTTTTAGCCCAGTGCTCTGCAGTTTAAAAGGCTTTTCTGGCGTGGCAAATAGGCAGGGGATGGTTCGGGGAGGCGGGGGTGGCGGTGAGGAAAGCGAACCTGCGTTCTGGGAATCCAATACTGCTAAGTACCTCTGGTGAGGCTTGGCTGGAGCCGCACGGGGTATTTGAGGTTAATATGTAAGGGAGGGAAGGAAGACACTAAGCGCTTCGGAAGTGAACATGAATGCAAGCATGTAATCTATTCACCATGAAAATCAGTGCAGACTTGACCCAGGCACATTCTTGCTAGGAAGGTTTCCAGCAAAACCCTGCAGGGCGAGGGGGCTTTAAATATATATATAATTTCTTTTGTGGGGGGGAGTGGGGGGTGGGGAGGTGGGGGGCATGGGGTGAACCTGAAGACCCAACCAAGGCAAATGTAGAAAAAAATAAATAAATAAGGAAAAAAATAAAAGGGGAGGAAGCCATCAACCCTAAACTGACCGCTTTCCCAAAGAGCGCTTCCTGCTAGGAAGCAGCTTTCTAGAAGGAGTCGTTGCTTCATTTCTCCTGCTCCCTTCCTTTCGGAGCCTGCCAACGAGCCGCCACACACCCCAGCAAGCGAACAAACAAACAGAGAGCTCTCACCTAGCCCTGTGGGCATTGCTAAGTGCTGCAGAACCAGGGGGTGCGAGGGGCCGGGCGCTAAGTGTGGGGCAGTGCCGAGCGGTGCCTTTGTATCCTGCACTGTACCGGGGCCAACCTGCGCGCTGCTGCGCGGTGCTGCGCTGGGCTGGGAGGGCGGCGGGGGCGGGCGGCGCGGGGCCGTGCGGTGCGGGTGCGGGGCCGCGCGGTGCGGGTGCGGTGCTGTGCAGGGCCGTGCGGTGCGGGGCCGCGCCGCGCCGCGCCGATCTGTTGCTTCCCCCGAGATGGCTACAAAGAGGCGCGGGCCCGCAGCCGCCGCTTGTCAATTTGCACGGCGCGTCACGTGGCCGCACCTCCCCGCCGAGGCCGGAGGCTCTCCACGTCAGCTTACGTCTCCCAATTTCTTACTTCACGGATCTGCTTCAAAGGGGCAGCTGCGCTAGAGAATCATGTTAAGCTCAGCTAATGCGGAGAAGCCGAGGTAGCCCTAATGATGGATTTTGATGAGCGTGTTCCTTGTTCCTCTAACATGTATTTGCCAAGTTGTACGTACTACGTCTCGGGTCCTGATTTCTCCAGCCTCCCTTCTTTTCTGCCCCAGACCCCGTCTTCTCGCCCTATGACATACTCCTACTCCTCCAACCTGCCCCAGGTCCAACCCGTGAGAGAAGTGACCTTCAGGGAATATGCCATTGATCCCTCCAGTAAATGGCACCCCCGGAACAACCTGCCCCACTGCTACTCCGCAGAGGAGATCATGCACAGAGACTGCTTGCCTTCCACCACCACCGCCAGCATGGGCGAGGTGTTCGGCAAAAGCACCGCGAACGTCTACCACCACCCCAGCGCCAACGTCTCCTCCAATTTCTATAGCACGGTGGGCAGGAACGGGGTCCTGCCGCAGGCTTTCGACCAGTTTTTCGAGACGGCGTACGGCACGGCGGAGAACCCGTCCTCCGCGGACTATCCGCCGGACAAGAGCGGCGAGAAGGCGCCCACGGCCGCCGGGGCGACGGCGGCAACTTCAAGTTCGGAGGGCGGCTGCGGCGGGGCGGCGGCGGCGGGGAAGGAGAGGCGGAGGCGGCCGGAGAGCGGCAGCAGCCCCGAGTCATCTTCCGGCAACAATGAGGAGAAATCCGGCAGCTCCAGTACGTATAAAGGCAGCGCCCGAGCGCTTTCGGAGAGGGACTTGGAAATGTAGCGCACCGCCGCTGTTAAATTTTTATATGCTGTTTTATAAGCATATAAGGTTTATGAAGGGCCTTTAGATTTCCCCCAACAAAACTTTGTTATAAAAGGCGAGATCACGTGTTTAGTGCTGAAATTGGCCGTGAAATACCCACCGGGCGACGGATGCCTTTAAAAAATTTTCTTTCTCCTTCCTCTTTTTCTTTTTTTTTTCTTCTTTTTTTTTTTTTTTTTTTTTTTCGGGAATCGTAATAAAGGGGGGCTCTGCGGTCGGCTCTCGAAAATATAATAACGTGCGTCGGGCGCCTGTAAATTCGGCAGAGAAGGGCGATCCCGGCTCCTTTGATACCGATGTAATCCCGTGATTTTATAAAAGCCATGTGTTGCACCGGGAGCCTAGTTAGGAGCCGCATTCAAAGCCATCGCCGCTTTAACGATTGCGCTCGAGCCGCGTTGAGCAGATAAAGTAGCCGCCTGAACTGTAGCAATATATTAAAAGAAACAAATTAACCTAAAGCTGGCCTTTTTGTCTAAAGGAAGCCATTTTACCCGGGCGCTGTGGCAATTACGCGTTGCCTTCTGTCCAACAGTTTGTTACTTACAATTGTTATTCAATCTGTCAAAGGCTGATTTTTTTATGTGGGCTTTTTAAAAGGCAACGCCAGTATACAGCTCGGGGAAAAATACCTCGACAATGAACTGTACCAGAAAAGGAAGTTTTTAAAGGGGTAGCGGCTAGATTGAATGCAAAGGGCTTCTGAGCCTCGAGCCCTTTTCTATTGCGCTTAATGAACTTTAAAACCGCGGCGGCTAAGCGCGAGGAGAACACCCCGAGATGGTGGCCGAGCGTGCTGGAAAGCTGCCGGCAGAGCGTGCGGCTGCCGCGGGCGCGGGGCTGCGCCGTGCCGGGGCCGCGCGGTCGCTCTCGGCCTCCGGAGCGGGGAACGGAGCTCCGCGGGGTGCCCGGCTGCTGCGGGGGCGGCGGGGGGCGGCCGCTGCCCGATCTCAGCTCGCCCGGCTCCGGCCGAGCGTCCTCCGGGGGCTTCCTCCCTGCCTCTCGCCCCTTCCTCTCGCGGAGCGAGGCCTCAGCCCCGCTTCCCGGCGGGGTTCCGCCCTGCCCGGGGCCGGAGGCGTCCCGGTGGGTCCCGGCTCCCCGCAGCTCTCCGTGCGCTCAGTCCTGCGGCTGCCCAGGGCGGCCGCGGATCGGGCGGAATGAGCGTTGTAGCGTGTCGAGGTGCTTTGCCCCTCTGTTCCCCCCCCGGCCCCGCCGTGACAAACCCTTCTGCCTTTTCTCGCTCCACAGGTGGACAACGGACCCGTAAAAAGAGATGCCCCTACACCAAATATCAGATTAGAGAGCTAGAAAGGGAATTCTTCTTCAGTGTCTACATAAACAAAGAGAAACGCCTCCAGCTCTCCCGAATGCTCAATCTGACCGACCGCCAAGTAAAAATATGGTTTCAAAACAGAAGAATGAAAGAAAAAAAAATTAACAGGGACCGATTACAATATTACTCAGCTAATCCACTACTCTAAAACTCGTAGCGTTTTTCAAGACGAGATTAAATTCAGATTTTGCCCTTGACAAGGTCAAGCCACGAGGTTACGTGGAGGAAGGAGGTGTGTATCTGACGGGACTCGAAGAACCCGAGGTTTTCCATACATGTAAATCTGCTCTGGACGTTCCATGACGGTTTATTGTTTTGTCTATATATTTACGTTCCAACTGGAATCGGTTTGATTTTGCCACACGTGGCGTCCATCCATTTCCACCGCGCGCGTCACCTCCGAGCGCCTGGCCCACGCCTCTCACCTTCCCGCACCGCGTTGGGCAGATCCGGGAGGGGACAGGGCTGTCCCCGTGTCCCGCTGCCCCCTCGGAGCGTGGCGTGGGCACCGGCACCGCGAGCGGCCGCAGCCAGGACGCAAACTTTGGGAAATGATCTCTCGTCCTTCCCGGAAGGAAAATGTCTGTGGTTGAGGCAGTGCGCCATTGCCCATGGGTTTGAGAGGGGAATTAAGGGAGGGGGGAGAGAAGTAACACCGGCCACAGGGGGGGGGGGACAAGCCTACACCTTCACGAGTCTGACCACGAGCAGTTGTAACACGGATGTAGGATGGGTACAATAGTGTTTCCTTTGGGGTGGGAGGAAGCGGGGATGGGGGTGGGAAGAGAAAGAAATGAAAGACTGAAATATTTACTTTAAAAAGAAAAATCAGGTATAAATTTGCCATACATCGCAAAGAAACAATCACTGAAAAGAAAAAGGAAAAAAGCAAACAAAACGAAGCAAAGATTTCTCAAATTATAACTAGCACTCATTTTATTTATGACAACGGCCTGTGCGTTGCCATCTTTTCGGAGACAAATCATATTAAAATGCTAAAAATAAACCATTTTTTAAAAAGCGTGAATTTCAGCGTTTTAAAAGAAAAAAAATACGGAGAGGAAACTGACCTTCTGGCTTCTGGCTCGCAAACTTTCTTCAGGAAATACCTGTGGAGAACGACAGTTTAGCAAATACCACACAACACTTAATTGAAACTTGGAGTTGTGCAATGCGCTAACGTTGGATCATTAAAATAACTCAATTGCATGCTCTTGTAAAGGTGACCAGTGAGGAGTTTAATCAGAAGCCAAACAGTGTAAATACGGTCATTTTGTTGTCGTCTACTTTAAATGTCACGAGCTCTACTTTGTCGCCCAGCCGACGGATGCAAAGAACGGAGAGTCGTTCGGAGTTATTTTAAATATCTAAAAATATATATTTTTCCAAGAAGAACAAAAAGGGGAAAAAAAAAAAAAAAAAAAAAAAAAAAAAGAAAAAAAGAAAAAAAGCAATTTTAAAAAGAAAAAGAGGGAAAAAAAGAAAAATATTTAAAATTCTATATCGGTTTACAAAGGCTACGGAGTTCTATCGTTAAGGTAATTTGCTGATGAGAATATCTGAATGTATATTTCATACAGGAGCGATGTTTTACAAGACTTGTAAATAATAAAAAAGAGGAACCCATGACCTATTTTATTCGAACGCCTTTTTTTTTTTCCTCATTTTTTTTCTCCTATGGGGCTGAAGGGTGTGGGGTTTCTTTACATGTGCAACAAAGTGGTGATAAGGAAGTTTTTTGATGAGTAAATTTACCAAATGGATGTAAGTTCTTTGTCACGGTTCACCAAACGCAGTATCTTTATATGCCATCACTGTTTTCCATATGTATCGACTATGTGTATATACCGTTTTCTTTTAATATCTGAAAGTACTTGGTTGCATGTATACAGTGGAACAGCGCACAAGGCAAATAAAAACAATGGAAACTTTCTCTTTTTCATTCTGGCGTCGCGTTCCTGCATGTCGCTTTGCCTGATGTGGCTTTGGCACCCGAAATTCCTCATGACCTTGTGGGGTCATTTGGGGAGAAACGATTGTCCTTTTGTAGAGCTCGGCTGTTAAGTCTTCAGCCTTGGTGTGGCCAAGCAGACGTGGTCTGGTTAGGAAAGGAAGGTGGAGAAGGCTCCTCGTGAGGCCGTGTCCTTGTCCTGTGGGGTGAAGTCCCTTGTCACACCGGCATGTGACACCGCAGTGTGCTCCGCCACGTGTGGCAGCGTAAGAGGTGCTGGGAGTGCTTGAGACTCATTTTAGAGACCCGTCCCTAAAGAAAAGGGGCGGACGAGCCCTCTGTGGATGGAGGGCTCAGGACGATGAGGGCCCTAAGAAAACCATTGCCTCCTTCGAGAAAAAACGCGCTTGGCAGCGCGGTGGAAATGGGCCGGCTGGGGTTGTCCTTGATCTCCAGGGCAGAGAGGGGTGGGATGGGGCGGGGGGAGGGCTGCAGGGAGAAAATAGATGGGAGGGAGGACCAAACCAAAACAATGGCTGGGATGGGAACGTGTTTTGGGAAGAGCAGCCGAATGTTGAGTGTTGACCCCGGTCCTGATCGGGAGAAGAAAGTACATTCTGTTTTCACATTGTTTGCTGGCTTTGAACTTCTGTATTGCTTGGACATCACCCATAACCTTGAGGTGAAGCACTCCCACTGACGCGGGCCTTGCTGACAACCATCGCCGGCCAGACAGCGCCTCGGCGGAGGGAGCGCTGAAAAACGAAGGGAAGGGAGGCTCTGGTGTTTGTTTGTTTGTTTGTTCGTCTGTCTGTCCGCGGGGAAGGCGAGCCGAGAGGGGACGGACGGACGGACGGGCGGCAGGCAGGGAGAGAGGGACGGATGGGGAGCGGACGGGCAATGAAAGTTTAGCGAGAAAGCTTCCTTTCCCTGTTAAAAATTAACTGGCATTCACGGCCAATCCCAGAGACAGTTAAACTACGGAGTTTCTCCGCTCGGGGTTTGATTTCCTAGCCCAATAAAATCGCATCCTCTGTGTTGCTGTGACAATGCGGCCATAAAAAGTGTCCGTGACTTGTCCGCTCGCAGAGGCGGAATGCACCGCTATAAAGGCGGCGGCTGCCGCGCCGGGCGGAGCGGGAGGTGAGCGGCCGGCGGCCCGCGGCGGGGCCCGGGGCTGCGCGGGACGGCGCGGCCGCCAGATGGCGATCGTCAGATCAATGTCAAAGCCGCCGGCCGAGGAGAGCAGCCCGGCGGAATCTTGGCCTTTGTTCACTTCGCGGCCGCACGCTCAATTAGCGCGAGGGACCAGGCGGAGGTCGGGCAGCGGGGCTCCGGCGTAGGCGATGCGCGGAGGTAAGTGCTCTGTGCGTGCCCCGCGGCCAGAGGGGACGGCGGGTGCGGTGCCAACGCGGGGCGCGGGGAGGGCCGGCCTCGGCACCGGCAGTGGAAGCGGAGCTCGAAAGTTGGTGATTAAAGTGGTAAATGAACGTCGCAGGGGCTTTCTGAGGCGCTGCTGACCTTTTTCTGTTTCTTGGTGAAGTTTTGGCTGGCGGCGTGGAAAATCCACGGTATCTGGAAATACTTCTTTTTGCAGAGAAACTCGTAGATTTCTTCCAGTTATAAAAATTGTAGCACTGGAAATATTATGAAACTTGACATTTATGTGGGGAACAGTAGGTGTCTTCAATCAACTAGATCTATGGCAACCCAGACTACAAATGACAGACAATTCTGACGATCTTATTGGACTTGAACTGTAGTTTAGTTAGGGTCGCTTGGTAACTTAAAAGGAGAGCCTGCTTCCTCGCAGCTGGATGCAGCCTGTGGTAAACAAGTTTTGACACACTTATGCTCAAAACTAAGCATGCTGTTGCACGTTAAGTCAGCATGCATGAAGGACCAGATTGCCGGCAGTCCACCCATCCATCCATCCATCCATCCATCCATCCATCCATCCATCCATCCA